CAAGTCAAAGCCAGGCTCCTCGGTCCCGTATCCAACCAGGGGGATTTAGCATGCTGCATTGGGGCGATTTGGATTCGTTACGCCCACGTGACCCAGAATGATGTTTTACGAATCCGAATCGATGCCCCCCCCCCCCCTTTGAATTTTAGCCAGAAAGGTTCTGACGTCTCCAGCCCAGCCGCTGGCTCGGCAGGTGCGGCACCACAGGCGCCAGCAGCAGCAGCAGCAGCAGCTACAGCCATGCAGCGAGCGTCGCCAGCACCCTCGGCATGGCTGCCGAAGCTCAAGGCAGGTGAGCATCAGACATCGCTGAAGCGCGTTGGCAGCCTCGAGATCATGCCTTTGGCAGCCCGCATGAAGCTAGGCCTTGTACCCGATCGGGCGCCAATCGAGATCCCCGACAATGACTCGTACGAGCCAGGGGCGGAAACCATGGCCCTGACTGAGAACGAGCTTGCGTTGGCGATGGGGATCTCTGCTGAGGGGGGCTCGCGTGATCAATATTGTGCTGATACGCAAGTGGAATTCTGAGTGCCATGCCCATGGACTTCGGAAACGATATCGATTCGCTTGGGGTGGATTGAAAGAAAAGCTGCACGTTGGTCCTGAGGAGGAGGAGGAGGACGAGGTTTCGAGTTTCCGAAGTGTGCGTAGAACATGTTTCGCTTGAGAGTTCATCGCAAGGTAACGAGACACACATAGGGGGCGCAGCCAACATATCAAACTTATGCCAGGGGGGGGAGGAGGAGGAGAAGGAGGATCAGGAGGACAAGGAGGAGGAGGGGGAGGAGGAGGAGGAGAAGGAGGAGGAGGACGAGCAGGAGGAGGAGCTCCGTCCAGGCCAGTCTCCGTCCAGGCTCCGTCTAGGCTCCGGCCAGGCTCCGGCCAGGCGGCCAGGCTCCGGCCAGGCCCCGGCCAGTCTCCGGCCAGTCTCCGGCCAGGCCCCGGCCAGGCCCCGGCCAGGCTCCGGCCAGGCTCCGGCCAGTCTCCGGCCAGTCTCCGGCCAGTCTCCGGCCAGTCTCCGGCCAGTCTCCGGCCAGTCTCCGGCCAGTCTCCGGCCAGGCTCCGGCCAGGCTCCGGCCAGGCTCCGGCCAGGCTCCGGCCAGGCTCCGGCCAGGCTCCGGCCAGGCCCCGGCCAGTCTCCGGCCAGGCTCCGGCCAGGCTCCAGCCAGGCCCCCAGGCAATGGCCAAGCTCAGGATCTGGTCAGTCCTCCTCCTACCTCTCTGCTCTCTGCCCCCTTCATCCAATCGCCCTTGGCCTCGCCCGCGCCCTCATCATCATTCTCAAGGGAGCAGCTTGGTGCTGCTTGATTCTGGCACACGTTTGGGCCGCCCCTTCTGCTACCTGCGTTTGTTCCCATTCCCAGATGCCAGCCTCTGCGTCGAAGCCCATCGACCCCCGTCGCGACGAAGCTCAGCGGCACTTCGTCAAGCACCTGCGCGCCACGAACACGTTCTTCAAGCATCAGAAGACGCTGAAGATCGCGTTCCCATGTGCAGGAGTGGGTTGCCCAGAGAGAGCAATCGCGGAGGCAGGGTGGAAGTGCGCGGCGCAGGAGTGCTCTGGGAAACAGAAATATGGGGATCACGTACCTGATGATGATGATGATGATGATGGTGGTGATGATGATGATGATGATGATGATGATGATGGTGATGGTGATGGTGATGGTGATGGTGATGGTGATGATGCTGATGATGATGATGATGATGATGATGGTGATGATGATGATGATGATCAGGATGATCAGGATGAAGAGGATGAAGATGAGGTCCTATGGCTGTCTGAAGGTCTGGAGGTCTAGAGGAGGAGGAAGAGGAAGAGGAGGAGGAGGTTCTATAGCTGCGTGGAGGTCCTGTGGCTTCCTGGATGCATGGAGGAGGAGGAGTAGGAGGAGGAGCAGGAGGAGGAGGAGGAGGAGGAGGAGGAGGAGCTCTTCCTCCTGCTCCACTTCTTCCTTCCTCTGCCTCGCACCAACTAGAAAATCGAAATATAAACAGTTAATCCCAATCCTCCTCCTCCATCCTCCTCCTCCATCCTCCTCCTCCTGCGTCCTCCTCCTCCCCCCCCTCCCCCTCGTCGTCGTCGTGCCCCTCCTCTCCTCAAATACTCCTACCCTGATCCTCCCCTCCTCCCCTCCCCCGAGGACGTCTTGGAGATCGACCCCAGGATTGGCCGCGCCCTCAAGGAACTGCACAGGTACATGCTCACGCCCGAGCACCACGTGCACGTGGGCCCCTTGAGGGGCGACGTCATCGGCCACGTGTTCCAGGACGACAGCGAGGTGATCGTTGCGGGGCCGCCATGCCCTCCATGGTCTACGGTGGGGCGCTGCGCTGGCCTCGATGACGACAGGGCGTGCGTGCTGGGCTCGGTCCTTCACGCCATCCGCAAGAGCGCCGCGAAGAACAACCTTTTGGTCTGTGTCTTGGAGAATGTGCTGGGCTGGCTCAACAAGTACAAGACTCAGGAGAAGACGGCCATGGCTTCCATCCAGGAGTGGTTCGACTGGAACTTGCCGAACTTCGAGCACCGCGTCTGGATCCTGAACGCTAAAAACTACTGTCTGCCGCAGAACAGGCCTCGCGTGTACTTCATCGCGATTCGCAGTGACATCGTGAGCGCCCTCCCTGGCGGCTTCCCAGAGAAGCCCATCATGACGGAGCGGCCTGCCCGCCTGGAGGACTTCTTGGCCGCGGACCTCCCGATGGGGGACCTCTCGGAGCTGACGGCCATTCAGCGCGAGAACATCACGCACGCGTGGGACAAGTTCGACATGATGCTGCCGCTCGAGGACTGGACATGGGATGACTTCCTGCCGCGCCTCCGTCGTCGTTGTCGTCGCAACCGTCGTCGTCGTCGAGGCCTCTGCTTCATGGCCTCGTCGTCGTTGGTACGCCTCCCAGGCCGAGGCCGGGGAGTGATCGGACGGGGGGTCGAGGTCCCCTGGGCCCTTTGAGCTTCCAATGAGGAGGTGGACGACAGGCCGGGCGTCGAGCGCACGATCGGCTTCGTGGATTCGTCCCGCAAGTCTAGACAGTCTGGCGGCAAGTTCAAGCAGCACGTCTACATGCATGCGACGCCGACGTTCACGTGCTCAAACACTGCCCTGTGGGTTCTGGGAAACAAGCCGCCGTACGTCGACTACCCTGGCCGCTGGCTCAGTTTCAAGGAGCGCGTGGAGATATCAGGCTTCAAGTGGGAGCAGATCGTGGGGTGCCTCAACACGAGTAACATCCAGAAGGCGTGCGGCAATGGCATGCCAGTCGACATGGTGGGCTGCGTGCTTGGACGGGTCTTCGAGGTGTTCCACAAGTACGAGAAGGCGATCGAGGAGCTCCCGCCGCCGAGGTCGCCCCCCCTCGGGCTCGCGAGTCGGAAGCGCAGGAAGTCGAAGGGTCCAGGGACTGAGACGATCATGCAGTATCGCCCGCCCCATGCCTTCAAGTTGCCTGGAGACACCTCGGCCAAGGACGTGCAGGGGGCTATCATCGCGGAGGTGGCGCAGGACCCCAAGGAGGCCAATGACGCGAAGAACGCCAAGCGCAAGAAGAAGACGATCCAGGACTTCTTCGCCTCTGACGTCACCGACCACGAGAGCGGCCTGGTGGTGACCAACCAGGTTAGCCGCACCGTCACATACTACGGCGATGAGGTGCCCCAGCTGCCCAGGCAGACCTACCAGTGGACCCCGCATGGCCTGAGCGTGTACCGTCCCAACAAGGCCCTTCAGGCCTCGAGCTCCAGCTCGACTGCTTGAGCGCAGACGCCGATTCTCGGCTTCATTTTCTTTATCCCAGCAGCTATTGTTTGCTACTGGGCAGCGCTGTCAGCCACGTGAGGGCCAGGGGTCCAGGTCTGAACATGAAGTCCACCAGGGTCCAGGGAGCCACTGCCAGCACATAATCCAAAAGGGTCTGATCTTCAGGGGGTCTGGAGCCTCTGGGTCTTGCTTCGTGGTCTGGCTTCTGTTTTCTCGGGTTCCGAATCCTGAATTCGAAACCCAGTGGCGCTGGCAGGCTGTAGTGTGACATGAACGCTGGCCTGGCTGTTTGAGTTCCTGTCCGATTGGTGTGCGAGGTCAAGGATCCTCTGCCCTCATCCCCTCTCCTGCGTGGGGCTGGCGTCTGCTCGAAATCTTGGCGCTTGCAGTGCTGCGAGTGTGTTCTCGCTCCTCGTCGCCAGTGAGCCTGCGGGCCTGTGAGAGCATATATCTAAGACGTGGTGCAAGATGCAGTCCGCTGACGACGACGGCGGCGACGATGTGTGGGTGCATATATGTAAGATGCAATGCCCGACGAGGCCCACCCCCCCCTCCCTTTCGTATCTCCTCTCCACCTCCACTTCTTACTCCCTCCACCTCCTGCTCTTGCCCCTCGTCTCCTACTTCTCGCCTCGCCCCCCTCTAGCATCCTCCGTCACTTCCATCTCGCCCCCTGATCCCTGATGTCCCTTGGGGGCCGGGTCCAACCATAGCCGCTCGGATGGTCCGAGCCGACGGGGAGCAGCCGCCCAGCGCGTCTCGGGCACGGAGCACGTCCACGCGGCAGGTGCCCTCATCCTCTTGGCTCCCCCATCTCCCCTTTCCCCCTGTTCGAAGTCAGAAAACCGTAGCCTTACTCGGGAGGATCAGCTTTAACCCGATGGCGAACTCGAGAATCGACCAGAAACTCAACGCCATGCTTAAGCCTGGCCCACGAACCCTAACCCCAAACACGAGTTTGCTTTGGGGGCTGTCATCCCCCGTTTCCCAGAGCCTCCTCATCCAACTCATCCCCGAGGCCAGCACCCCTCATCTTTCCATCCTTTTTTCCGAGGTGGAGCCATGCTGATGTCTACGCCAACCCCTGGCACTGGTCCACCGCCGCCGCCAACGCCAGCCTCGAGTGGAAGGGGCAGCGGCAGTCGCTCGCCTTGTCAATCGTCCCAGCTGGAGGGTACAGACACTCCAGATGCCAAGGCAGCGCAGTTATCTTCGCCATCCTTATGCGCAGCCTTCATGGGGGAGTCGGAGGGGGGCCCTGCTCCCTGCGGCGAGTTCAGCTGCTGCAAGTGCGAACTGGTTCTGCCCCTGACCGAAAAGGACACTTCGGACGATGAGAAGAACAAGACCCAGTGCAAGCTCTGCAAGAGGGCTTACAAGGCGCTTACGCGGCGCTGGCAGAAGAACAAGAAGTTGCAGGCGTGGTGGAACAGCAAGTCCAAGGATGCACAGATTGAATGGTATCAGACGGCCCGCCGAGATAATGTAGACAAGATTGGCAACCAAGAGCTGAAGCTCGACCTCGAGATGATCGAGACTAAGGGCACTGAGTCTCGGAGGCGGGTGCACTACAAGCCTTTCGACCAGTACAAGAAGGACTTGTTCATGGAAGGGTTCAGCACGCTGATCGCCCAGCAGAACGAGTTCAGGCGCCGCACGCAGGACCCGAAGTACATGGTTCGAAAAATTGGCGGGGAATACCACATCGGGGAGTACATGGGCGTCGTCGAGGACGAGTTGCATGGGCAGCTTGCCGTGAACAAGGTTCGGTCCACGGCGAAGCAGTTCACCAGCGCCGAAGAGTTGGCTGAGGAGCGGGAGCGGTTGCAGGGGCTCTTCCAGGAAGCGGGGTCTGCCATTACCGAGGCGTCGTCCAGCGTTGGCGTCGGAAGCGTCACTGAGAATGTGCTGGGCGACATGCCGCAATCCTGGATCGCTGGATTCATCGAGGAGGGGGAGGCCACCTCCATGCCCGATAGCTGCCGCATCTTCGACCTGTTCCACAAGGACCTCGAGTCCAAGAGGGAGCAGGTGGAGCGCGAGCTCGAGGAGGCGTTCGAGGCCGAGATGTTCGAGGGCCCCCAGAAGTACGTTGACCCTTTGATCGCCCGCTCCACCTTGTCAGAGGCGATCGAGAAGGCCAAGGGGAAGGCGTCTTCCTTGCACGACAGCGCCGAGCTCGAGCGCACGGTGACCATCGACGAGCTCAAGCAGCGCCTCGGCCTTGGAGAAGCAGCTCTGGAAGGCGACTGGGCCGAACTCGTGAAGCGCATGGAGGTGGCCAAGAAGGAGTCAGAGAAGGCGAAGGATGAGTTGATCACATCAGGCGACGAGATGCTTGAGAGTGCGAAGGGGAACCCCGACTTTGATTTCGCGAATGCCAAGGCCACGCTGAAGCAGTTGGTGGCTGATTACACTAAGCCAGAGGGCGCCTACCGTCGCTTCAAGAAGACCATCTCGGACTCTCAGCGCAGCATCTCGAAGCAGTTGGCCACGGAGCTGCGCACGTCCACTGCAAAGCCGCCGAAGGCCCGCGCCGACTTGGGCACTGGTGGCTCTGGCGGGGCAGAGAGCGCGAAGAGCTTCGCCGATATCTTAGGCGCCTACTTCACGTCTGTGCATGAGTCGCCAGTGGGGTGCACATCGTCTCTTCAGGAGGCTGATTGGCAGCGTGGCGCTCTGATTGTTGGGACCGAGTTCGAGGCGAAGGTGGCTGGTGCCCTTTTCCTCCTCGCCCCCCCTCCTTCCTCGTCCCCCAGCCCCCCTTTCATCTTTCCTCTGCCTGCGTCCCCTGTCCCCAGCCCTCCCCCCATCCACGCATCATCCCTCCTCATGTCTCTTCCGTGTTGTGACCTCATTCCTTCTCCATCCTCCGGCCTCCTTCCTCCTTCCACCACCCTCTCTTCCCCCTCCTCTTCCTCCTCCTCCTTCTCCTCCTCCACCGACTCCGCTTCCTCCTCCTCCTCCTCCTCCTCCTCCTCCTCTCCTCCTCCTCCTCCTACTCTTCCTCCGCCCCCTCTGCCCCTCGCCCTCCCCGCAGCGCCCGCCTCCGGCCAGGTGGCGGCCGCGAAAGGGTACGCCGACATCAAGAAGGTCTGGAACAAGGGCGCGAAGGGGGACGTCGAGTACTCCGTGGCCAAGGTGCTCGCGGCCTCAAGTGGAAGGGGGGAGGAGGAGAGGGGGATGGGGTGGCGAGGATGAGGAGGCGCATGAGAAGGAGGAGGAGGAGGAGGAGGCGGAGGAGGGGGAGGATGGAGGATGAGGTCTTCTTATCTAGTTTTGTCTGTCAAGTCGCATTGACAAAAAAACAAAAAACAAAACAAAAACACACACACACATACCCCAGAGGTGACGCAGGCCGCCGTGTCCCTCACCGCGCTTGGCTACATCAAGGAGCTCCGTGGGGATATTGATATGGGCAGCGCCTGCCCGATGAGCGTTGGTCGGAGCTTCCAACACCTCGTGAAAAAAGACGTCATGGGCGTGCAGAGTTTCGTTGCCAAGCCCGACTCTGGCCATGTCGGTATTTTGCCGTTCGGGTGCAGTGAGATCAGGGCCATCACGAACGGACAGGAACTCGTGGTGGGGATCCCGCACCCTAGTGATAACGATCTTGCGAAGTTCGAAGACTCCTTCAAGAAGATGGGCCCGATGGCCATGCAGCAGTACTTGCAGCAGCACGCCTCGTTTGCCATGGTGGGCAAGGTGAGTAGCATCATGGTTCTTCCAGCAGGCTTTGTGTACGTTATGTTCCGCCCTGTTCTGACCACGGGATTTCGGTGGTCGATTTGGCCTGCAGCTTGGAACGATGAATGTAAGCGCATTCTGAGGTCGGTGTGTGGAGCAATGGATGCCCTTCCAGGCCTAGAGGAGACGAAGTTTCGGCAATGGCGTTCTTTCCTGTATGAATGCTTGGATTTGCAGTCCATCGTATCTCAGCAGGCTGGTCCCGCCAATGGTGGGGTACTCCTGGACGAAGGGCAGCCGGTGGAGGCTGCAGGTGAGCCCGCGGATGCAGCCGCACCAGCAGCGCCATCCCAGACCTGTGAGCAGCCAGCGCCAGGTGGGCTAGCGGGGCCAGCAGCCGCAGCATGCGCTCCAACGGGGCCAGCAGCGGCAGCAGCCGAGGCAGCCACGCCGCCAGTGGACCCCGCAGCCGGCGCGAAGTCCCAGCTGGCCGAGAAGCGCCAGCGCGGGGCGGAGATTTCTGGGGGGCACGGCGCAGGCGAGGCTCCAACCAAGCGCTCGCGCCAGGCCGCTCCTGCTGCTGCTCCTGCCGTTCGTGGGAAGCTCGTCTTTCCGAGGACGACGCCTGTTGGCGGCAAGATTGCTGACCAGCTCGAGGCGAAGTCCACGATTAATTAGAGGCTGAATATCGCGAGAGTGGTGAATTTTGTTGGCCCCACTCGAGTCGCGTGCCTTTCAGCAGGGGCTGTCTCGCTTTGCCCGAGCAAAGGTGGTGCGCGTCCTCGGCGTGGACGGGGTCGCCCATAGCCGCGCTGGTTGTTGGGTTGGGCCTTCGAGCATCGAGAATCGCAAATGTAATTTTGTGATACACTATACTGTTGTCAATGTGCGTTAATGCAGTTGAGGTTGAAAATGACGGCGTCCATGCGTTTGCAATCTCATTCCGCTTGCAATCTTTACTACCTCCGTTGGAGGAGGGTGATGAGCATGAGGAGGAGGAGGAGGAGGAGGAGGAGGAGGAGGAGGGGGAGGAGGAGGAGGAGGAGGAGGAGGAGTAGGAGCATGAGGAGGAGGAGGAGGAGGTGGAGGAGGGGGAGGAGGAGGAGGACGTGGAGGAGGATGGGTCAGCGTAACAGTTTATATCCCTACGCTTCGCGTAGCGCGGCCCTGAGTCCTGGGCTGTCTTGGTGTCTTGGAGGTCTGTCTTGGAGGGTGATCTTGGGGGAGCGGGGTGTCTTGGGCTGTCTTGGGCCTCTCCCCTCCTCCCTGGTCGTCTTGGGTTGTGCGCGTGTGCGTGGGAGGTACCTGGCCAGGGAAAACGCATCGCCACCAGGGCCGAGCAAATCAAGTACCGTCGTCGTTTTCTCCTCCTCTTCCTTATCCTCCTCCTCCTCCTTCTCACGACCTCCTCCTCCTCCTCCTCCTCCTCCTCCTGCTGCTCCTCCTACGTCCTCTCCTCATCTGTCTCCATCCTTCTCCCGTGCCCGTCCTCATCTTTCCTCCTTGGAGTTCGCCCAGGCGCCTTCGGCGCGTCGGCCGCGAGCGACTGCCAGCGTCCACGAACGTCCGCTGGCCCGCCCGAGCGCGGGCCTCTTGCCTGCCGCTGCCTTTCTCCTCCCCCCCCTTTCCTCTCCCTACCGCCTCCAAGACAATTACCCAATATGAGTGCTGCTCTCCTCTGATCTCCGACGCTGCGCGCTTCTTTTTCGCCGTGCCATGTTCCTCGCCTGGCATATGTGTCTGCGTTGTGTTATTTGGCAAGGCTTGCGCAAGTCCCGTCGACCAACACGTTGGCCTTGTCGACCACTGCCGTTATTGCTGCAGTTCCCGCGCGTTTATCAAGGGTGGCGCGGGCTCCAGGTGGAGCGCCTTCGGGCGCTAGTATGATACTTCGGCGCCGAGTGCGCCCCATCGTGGTAGCGTCGACCCTCGTCGAGAGGGTCGGGCGCTCCCAGTGCGAGAACGTTCGACGCGATTGAACGTTCCCTGTGCGAAGAACAACGCCTGCCCGCCCAGGCACATGCGAGCGCCTGGTTGGTATGCTTGCGCGTGATTGGGCCCTTGCCGTGTGGACTCACGGGGGTACTTTGTATCTGCGTATTGGAATGCGCGCGGGGGCGCTGGCGTGGCGCCCCTGCAACGTAAAACAGATGGTGCGCGTAAGCGGCGGGCCCGCGCCATCCGAAACATATCACCCCCAACATGCATCGTGGCACGCAAAAAAAAACGCATAGATGTCATTGTTTTCGCTCCGTTCGAAAGCGATGCCGCGGCGCGATCGCCGCTGTCATCTAAATTGTTGGCGCGGTTTTCCAAATCAGTGCTGCACAGGAATCATTAGAGCTGGTTTCTTTGCGCGCGCTCCCTGCGATGTGTTTCTCTGTTGTTTCTGGTGAGCACGACCCATGCGCCTCTGGCCACGGGAGGGGTGCCGCCCGCCACCCCCGCCAAGTGGATCACTGATATTCTCGCCCACCAGCCAGACCGCCCCCTCCGCCCCCAGCCAGCCCATCTCCCCGTCGCCCCCGAGCCAGCGCGCCCCCTCCGCCCCGACAGCTTCATTTCTGCACGCACGTACGGCACCGGCATCGCGCACCCCGTCTCCCCCAGCAAACCCAGGCCCCTTCGCCCCCCAGCCGACGCGCGCTCCCTCCGCCCGGATTTGTTTGGCACGCGCGCGCGACACCACCCCCGTCCACCCCAAACAGCTCAGCTCCCCTCCCCCCCAAACCAGCCAAGCTCCCTCCGCCCCGACCAATTCATATCGGCACGTGTGCATAGCACCAGCACGGCGCCCACTCCCCCCAGCCAGTCCAGCTCCCCTTCGCCCCCCAGCCGGCGTGCCCCTTCCGTCCCAACCATTTGGTTTCGGCGCGCACGCGCGGCACCAGCACCGCCCTCCCCCCCAGCCAGTCCCGCCTTCCTGGAGGCCTCATAGGTCCATCAGAAACGAAAAAGTGGCAAGGAACAACTTGTTGTGTGTTTCGTCGTTGTTTGGAGGATTTGGGGTTTCATGGTGGGGTCCGAGGGTGCTCCGAAAGCACTTGGGGCCGTCTTGGGGCATCTTGGCGGCATGATGAGGGCCACCTTCAACCGTCTTGAGTTGTCTTGAAGACTATCTCGGAACATCTCCTCCTCCGCCTCGTCCTCCTCCCCTCTCCTTTGTGTGCGCGAGCCATGGCACTCGTGCCACTTGCTTCGGCACGGCACCGGTACCGCGCCCTACCTTGCGCCCCCACGGCCAGCCCAGTTCTTCCTTGCCGGCCAGCCAGCACGTTCTTTCCGGCGCGACCCTTCACTTTGTCACGCCACCGGAGCCGCGCCCCCCCCTCCCCCCAACAGCCAGCCAACTTTCTCGTCCTCCTCCCTCCTCGTCCTCCCTCCCCCATTCTCTCTCCTCGGCCTCCGTCTCCCGTGTCCTCCCCCGTTGCCATGTGTTACCTTTCAAAGCCTCGCATTCCCCTCCCCCTCTTCCTCCTCTTTCTCCTCTTTCTTGTCCTCCCCCTCCCCTCCCCCTCTCCCTCCTCCTCCTCCTCCTCCTCCACCTTCTCTTCCTCTTCCCCCCCAAGAGCCTTGGCACGCTTGTCACTTGCTCATAAGGGACAGGATGGAGCAGGAGGAAGTGGAGGAGGACGAGGCGGAGGAGGAGGAGGAGGAGGAGGAGGAGGAGGAGGAGGAGGAGGAGGAGGAAGCGGGCAGCTCTGACAGGGTGTGCCCGTCCGACTCTGAGCTCGTCAGCAGCACCACTCCCGTCTCCTTCCAGAGCCTCGGAGGCGCTTTCCTTATCTCTGGGGCTCTGATGCTGATGTCCCTGGTGATGGCGATCGCCACCTTCGCGTTGAGGAGCTACCAGGGCGCGAAGTACGTGGCGCCCGATTCGGCGACAGACGGCGAGATGTTGAGGGAGCTCCTGACGAAGGTGTTTGCGACCACGGGCGAATCCTGCCCCTGTCCGTTTGACGCTGGGGTACCGGACACCGCCGCTGGGGTTCATTTGGCTGCAGACACATTCCAAATTCTGAACCCCGGCCAGCGTTACAGAAATGGCGCCGTCCATTTCGTTCGCGTCTCCAGGGCTCTGTAGTGGAGCGGCGGTCATGACCAAGACGGGGTCATGAGCCATATAGCCCCGTTGGGTCACGGGGCCGGACCACCACGAGGTCACACCAGCCCCCCGATGGTTCCCAAAAGGGGTTACACATTAGGCCTGCCAGCGCGGGTGTGTGACTGCCGCAAGTTGGCAACGCGACACAATAGACGCGACCAAATATTGCCCGCATGGTTATGACGAACGATCAACACGCACCCATACCCATAGGGGGGACGGAATGAGCTATGGGTGCATGCTGTCGGATGGGGGTCCCCGGTAGAACGGGAGCCTGCCCAGGGGTCCGACAACCCGCACCCATACCCATAGCCAGTCCTTCTCCCTCCGACCTCCCTACGGGTATGGGTGTGTGTGTGTGTTGTTCGCTCGTCATGGTTAGGGTTCACTTATGCTTGCCTAGAGGTGGCGGAGCTGGAGAGACTTTACGCCGGGGCCGAGGGCACTGAGCCTCTGCCTCCGAGCCTCCAGGACGACCTGTCCCTTTCCGTCATGGAGGTCGCTTCGGTCCCTGTGTGCCCAGCTCCATCGTCGCCGCAGCAATCGAAGGAGCTCAGTACCGTTTCACCGGTCCCCACCCCCCTCCCCGCCACGCTGGTTGCAGATCTGCCCCTTGGAATCCGAGGGGAACGCCCCGTATCCCCATCTGGGGGGTCAAATCGGCCAGTGGGGCTCCGGCCCGCACCGGTGGGGGTAGGGATCGGCTAAACGATGCTCAGGAGCGCACCCCCTGGACTGAGGGCGCCTCGGAGCGCTGACGCCGAAGGGCCGAGTCTCTAGGCGCTGCTCGTTTCTCGATGGTCCTCAGGACGTGTGTCGGGTGTTAGCCCAGTGTACTTACCCTTAAGTCGGGCCTGTCCCTCTACAGGAGGAATATTCAAAAAGAGTCAAACAAATAGTCGGGGGACGATTTTTTGACTATTTCTGAGGAGCATTGTTGGAATCTGTTGGGGGTATTTTTATGTTTTCCTCCAAAATTCCCCTGTGGGGGGGCAGGCCCGACCTAAACTTACCGCGGTCAGTTGCACCGATAGCACACAGCCTGCGTCGGCCCTCGTTACGCCGCCTGCGTCGTATTGAAGGGCGCCGGTGGACAAGCACGCGTTGGGACGAACACACGTTCTAAAGTCCCTCGAGTCTCGCATGGACCCCTGCCATGCTGTTTTCAGACAACTCGGGTTGAATGCCAGATGGGGACCCGCCCTTTGCCACCACCGCCGCCCCCCCAGGGTGAGCCATCTTGTTGCCTGTGCTGTGGCAGTCTGGGGGGCATCTCATGCCATCGTGGGGCCGCTCGGGGGCATCTCGGGCCATCTCGGGGCCTCCGGGGTCATCCTGGGCGATTTGGGCGTCAACTTGGGGCATTTTGGGGCAACCTTGGAGCCAGCCATCTTGGTCAATCTCGAGGGCTCTGGGATCCTGAAACGACCTTGGGGCATAATGGAGCAAAGACAATGACCTTGTGACGTACTTAAGTGACCAAAGGTGGAGGAGGAGGAGGAGGAGGAGCAGCAGCACCTCCTCCTCACAAGGAGGAGAAGGGCAAGTCCTCCTCCCTGTGAGGAGGAGAACTTGCCTCGAGCGACAAAAGGAGTTGGCCCAAAAGTGCACGGACAGCGACAGTGTAGGCGCCGTCATTGGCTGTGCGAGCCATATGGGAGGCGCGCGCGCGTTGAACGATTCACTGGACATCAGCAGAAGGACGAGGACTGAGGCCCCAGGCTCGAAGAGGAAGTGGGGGTGGGAACGAGGTGCACGAGAAGGGCGCGAGGGGAGCCGAAAAGCCAGCGCAGCATCAGCAGGGAGACTCTGGAAGGATAAAATGTGTGTGAAGTCCGTTCACTTCCCTATTATATCCTCTCTTACCGCAACTGTATTGGCTCAGGTATTGGCAAACCACTGACCGAGCACTGCCTCTCGCGCAGTGCCCCTGAAAAAGAGTCCTACTCCTCGCCTCCTACCTACGGGCCCCGTATAGGAACGGCCCCTCGGCCGTCTCCCTATACACACATAAAGAGGACGACACCGGGAAGAGAAAGAAGGGTGACGTTTTGTTTCCAGTGGCGCGCTGGACATGCAGCGCGGCCCGCGCACTGTCGCTCTGGCGCTTCAAAAGATCAGGGTTTTAAATCAGGTGCAAGAAGTGAGCGAGGCCTAGCTCGCGCGCCAGCTTCTCCGCCTCCCTCCTATACCTTTCAGTACGGCAGCTAAGCACGCGTCTTCCTCATCCTCCTCGTCGTCCTCCTGCTCCTTCTCCTCCTCCCGCGCCAATCCTCGCACAGGTCTGACATGCTCCAGACTGGACAGGGAAATAATGCGCAGGTCCGACGGACAGCCGTGCCAAATAATGAGCATCGCAAAGGAATATGGAATAATGTGCAGGTCCGAAGGACAAATCGTCAAATCATGTTCTGGGCGTCCCAAGATGGTACCCCAGCCACCCTCGAACGTGGCGGCAGTTTCGCAGTTCGCAGCCTCCCAGGGATGGCGAGGTCGAATCTGAATCTGCCTAGCGCGACAACCCGCTGGACCTCACAGCAACCCGCGAAAGTGTAGGCAGTTTCGCAATCCACAGCCCTCCAGGGATGGCGAGAGGCCCAATCTGAATCTGCGTAGCGCGTTGCTCTGCTGGGCCCCCAGCAGCCTTCGCAAGTGGCGGGGGTTTCGCAGATCGCAGCCCCTCCGAGATGGCTAGGTCGAATCTGAATCTGCGTAGCGCGCCATACCCTGAGCCCCCCTCCCCAGCAGCTCTCGAAAGTGGCGACAGTTTCGCAGATCGCCGCCCCCTAGGGATGGCGAGGTCGAATCTGGATCTGCGCAGCCAGTCACTCCGCTGGACCCCCCAGCAACCCCCGGAAGTAGCGACAATTGTACAGATCGCATTCGCCCAAGGGTGCGAGGTCTAGTCTGAATCTGCGTAGCGCGTCACTCCGCTAGACTTGCTAGCCGTCCTCGAAAGTCGGGACAGTTTCGCAGTCCACAGCCCCTCAGGGATGGCGAGGTCCACCCGGCGGTCGCAAAAATATGTTTGTTGGGGGGATCCCGTATCGCAATCTATTTCAATCGCAATCCTATTTCAGTGATCGATATGGTTTTGCTGTGTATTGTAATTTCCTGGAAGAGCCTGAACCCAATCTATGTTATCCGCCTTCCTACTTCATGTTTCAACCCGCTTTATCCGACCGACGTGTAATCTGAATCTGCGTAGCGCGGCACTCCGCTGGACTCCCCAGCAGCCTTCGAAAATGGCGACAATTGTGCAGATCGCAGCCCCCCCAAGGACGGCGAGGTCGAATTCGAATCTGCGTAGCGCGTCACTCCGTTTGACCCCCCAGCGATGGCGAGGTCCCATCTGAATGTACGTAGCGCGTCAATCCGCTGGACCCCCAGAACCCTGTGAAAGCGGCGACATTTTTGCAGATCGCAGCTCCACAGCGATGGCTAGGTCTTATCTGAACCCGCGGAGTGCGTCATTCCGTTGGACGCCCAGAAGCCCGTGAAAGTGGCAACAGTTTTGTAGATCGCAGCGCCCAGGGATGGCGAGATAACGTAGGACGGCGAGGCAAAAGGCAGGCTGGCAGGCAGGTGTAAGCCAGGTAGAAAGCAGGAGAGGAGAGGAGAGGAAGAGGGAGGATAGCGGGAGGGAGGAGAGGAGGAAGGAGGCGGGAAGGTGTGCGACAACAGTGCTCTATTCAAAAGGAGAACGCAAGACAGGAGGATTGAAAACAAACAGCGGGAGCAAAATGCAGGATAGGCAAACAACATCGAAACACGCTGTTTTTTTCATCGGGGGCGTCTTGGGGCCCTCTTGATTAATCTTAAAAGCATTTGGGGACCATTTTCGGCCGCCTTGTGCTCCTTAGGCCCTCTTCGGACCGGATTCATCCGAGCCCGTCGGGGTCGTGTTCGGATAATTTTGGGCTCTCCCAGCTGTTCGGTGGCGTCCCCACGGGAATCTTGCGGCAACCTCGAGCGGCCAGGAGGCGCGACTGAGCCCACCCCAGAATTTGCTATTCTTTTATGTGGCGCAGCTTCCCCTACGTAGACAGTAGAGAAACAGGTACGGTTGACGGAGAAGCTTTGCAGCAGCAGCGCCTGAGCTAGGAAGAACCACATTCCCCCATCTCCCTGGCCAGAACATTGGCAAGTCTTGCGTCCGATGTGTTGGGATCCAGATTTTTCCGGCCCCACTTCTCTGGGAACGTGTGTTCAAGTGAAGGCTGGGGGGCGGATGGGGGGCCATGCGAAGTGGCTTCCAAACGTTTGTCACGCAAGTGTCCCCTTCAATGGCAGGACTGGATTGGATAGACATGCGGTAGGAATCAAAAGACACGAAACATGACACAAGGCAGCGGTCCAAGTAGTGTTCACAGCCTTGCGCCCCCGAGCCGACTGGCGGATTTACTCGCACAACGTGTGTTTTCAAGATGGAAAGCCAGCTTAGGCCTTACTGTGCCCTCGTGCATGCTCTCAGACAGCCCAGCTGCATGACTGGCAAGAGACTTTCGCCCTTTGTCCGAAAAGAAAGTGACGTTGATGACGAGGGCTGGCGACGGCGACGGCTACGGCGAGGACATCGACAACGACAGAAACGACGACGACCACCACGACGTCGATGACGACGACGACGACGACGACGACGACGACGACGACGACGACGACGACGACGACGACGACGACGACGACGACGACGACGACGACGACGACGACGACGACGACGACGACGACGACGACGACGACGACTACGACGGCGACGACGACGACTACGTCACGACGACGGCGGCGACGGCGGCGACGGCGGGAGCGACGACGACGACGACGGACGACGCTCACAGACGACGTCGACGGCAATTGACGACAGACGATGGACGACGGACGACGACGGCGACGACGACGACGACGACGACGACGACGACGACGACGACGGGCGACGCCGGGCGACGACGACGACTGCGACTGGCGACGATCAGCGACCACGACCGACCGACCGACCGGCATTCCACACTTCGACGACCGATGACCGACGACGACCGACGACTGACGACGAGTACGACGAGTCAACAACGACGACCACGACGACGCCGACGACGACGTTGGACGACGGACGACGGACGACCTTGGACGAAGGACGATAATGGACGACGAGCGACGGACCATGGATGACGACGACGACGACGGGCGACCGTGACGACGACGTCGTCGACGACGACGACGGGCGACGTCGGGCGATGACAATGGCGACGAGTAGCGACGACGACGACCGACCGACTGACCGACATTCCGTTCGACGACGACCGACTTCGTCCTCCGCATCTGCATGTCCCCCGCAAATCTCCGTGGAAGATGCTCCAGGGTTCCCCGAGGTCACCGCGGGGTCGCTAGAGCCCGTTGAGGGGTTTCCGTAAGCCAACCTTGGGGCCCAAAGACGACGACGACGACGGTTCTGACGACGACGACGACGACGGCGACGACGACGACAACGACGACGACGATTACGACGAGGACGACGAAGAGGACCAAACACCCAAGCACGCCCGAAGACCTCGATCTTCAATTCTCTTGCGACCGTTTGCGAACCTAACACTTGCGGGTTCAATCGGCCCCGGGGTATCGGATTCGCCCGCTGGGGTCCATTTGGCTGCAAGCATCCCGCAGATCCTGGACCCCAGCCGGCGTCTCAGAAATCTTACCAGCATGTGCATGACTCACACACGGTTGCCCACGGTTCATGATCCACGACGACGCATGGAGGCGACAGCGAGAGGAAGAGAGATTGCTACTCTTCCGCCTCTTCCTCCACCCCGCAAGAGAAGAGAGATGGCTTCCTCCTCTTCCGCCTCAGACGCTCGGTGTCGCTAGGGGTTTCTTATACTTGCGAAAAAGGACCACAGAAGAGCCTCACGGGGGTGACGGGGAGCCCGATTCGCCTGGTCTGGTAGCCGATTTGCTCTAGATTTGTTCTGACCGTGTATTCAGGAATCGTGCTCTCGCCGCTACACGTGCTACAATTCTGCTCCTGACGGCCACGATCGTTTGTATAAAATACACTACGGTACACAAGACCGTGCGTTTCCTAGGAATCCGTAGGAATACTCAGGAATGCTCGTTTTCACAAGCCCACCTCCCTTTCCTCGACCCGCCGCTTTCCCTTTGGTATCAGGATGCTTTGCTGGGGTGATCTTACAATGTGGACCCCCGAGGTCTGGACTCTTTCCCTGGGACTGGTTTTTCGTCCCGAGTGGTTTTTGACGGCCTCGGGGTCGGGCAGAGTACCCCAGGGACCGAAGCTAGCCAGAAATCTCCCGTCGTGATTTCTGCACGACGTGACAGGGCCTGCGTCCTCTCGTTCCTCCTCATCACCCCGTGGTTGCAGCAACTACGGCGGGAGTGGGCCACGCAACCGCATCCGAACCCCGCTCGTGCCTGCGGAAGCGGTGGACTTCAGGAACTTCGAGACGCAGAGCGGTTTCGCGAACGCCCGAGTGGTGCATTCGCCGCCGACGCGCCCCAGGACGTAGGGCTTTGCCTCGTGCTCGGCGTCACCCCAACATATTTATACTATATGTGCGTCGCCCCCCCAGGGGCGACGCGCGCACCGAGAAATCTTATGGTACATGCGTCGTGGCGGGCGCTTTCTGGCCACTATCTGTTCGGGTCGGACGCGCGCCTCCAAGGAGGGCATATAGTATCAGCCTGGCTCTGTGCGTCCCACGTGCCCCTCGCCTCGTCCGTCTGTGGCTGCCTGTGGGGAGAGGTGGTCCGGGGCGGGGCAGGCGGCCGGGCGCAGCACTTCGCCCCCGCGGCTGCGGCGGCCGGCATGGCGGCGGACGCCGACGGCGGGGAGCTCGTGCCGGGCGGCGACTCCAAGACCGTCGGCGACGAGTGGACCGAGGGGTGGTCTCCTCCTCTCTCCCGCTCTCTTCTCCTCCTCCTCCTCCTCTTCCTCCTCCTCTTCCTCCTCCTCCTCCTCCTCCTTCTCCTCCTCTTCCTCCTCCTCCTCCCCCCCTCCATCCTCTTGCCTCAGGAGTGACTCCCCCCTGCCGCGCCCCGAGACGTGTCGATAGGGCGGGCTGGGCGTTTCGCTTGAGACATCCTCACCGTCTAGGATTCGGATACCTGAAATTCGCGACTGTTTCACATCTGGAGGGCGGGTCGTTTTCAAAGGGTGGCTCTCGCCTCAGCGCCGCGCACGTCCGTCTTAAACATTTGTGAGAGTTTCACGGATCGAGGGCGGTCGTTTTCAACATGCGTTATCTTTTCAGCAAAGCGCGCGTTCGTCTTATAAGGGCGGGCCGTTTTCAACATGTGGCTCTCACCCCAGAGCCGCGCACACTCGTGTTTCTGAAAGTTCAAGAATTTTGCGGATGGAGAGCGGGTCTTTTTCAAAATGTGGCTCTCGCCTAAGCGCCAGGCGCAATTATTGCATCAGTTTGCAAAAACTTCACGGATGGAGGGCGTGCGGTTGTCAATATGTGGCTCTCGCGTTAGTGCCGCGCGCGTTCGTTTTACAAGTTTGCGGCTTCTAGGATGGAGGACGCTTCAGAAGAAAGGTGGCTCTCGCTTCAGCGCCGTACTGTGGTGGAAGTCCCAGGAGGAATGGTGTTCTGGCGCGATTCGACATTGTCAGGACGCAACAGTGCCGTTCATTGGCGGTGCTGAAGTCCCAGGAATGGTGTCCTGGCGCGATTCAAGATCGCGTGGACGCAACAGTCATGTTGATTCGCGGATCTGATGTCCCAGCCACTGTTTTGGCGCCTTGGAGGATTCTCAGACGCATGTCCTTTGATGGAGCACTTCCCGTGGGGAAGACACATTCTTGAAAGGGCCTGCGAAGAGGGAGCTTGGAGAGACTGTTTGTTGCAACATGATGATGCGTCTTGGGTTCGCACAGGTCTTCTTTCGGCGTCCCCCCAACATACTTATACTACATGTTCGTCGCTCCCCAGGGGCGGCGTTCGCACCGAGAAATCTTATAGATTGTACGTTGTGGCGGGCGCTTTCTGGCCACACCGCTCGGGAAACGATATGCTACAAGATGGGTATACTATATGTTCGGCTTGGACGCGCGCCTCCAAGGAAGACATATAGTATTAGTATGTCTCTGTGCGTCCCAGTCTTCTTCCTCCTCCTCCTCCTCCTTCTCCTCCTCTCTCCTCCTCGCTCCTCCTGCGCGCTTGTGGACGGGAATCGTATATATCCACATCCATTGCCGTGCCGGGCGGCGAGTCCAGGGCCAGCGGTGACGAGTGGACCGAGGGGTCGTCGCGGGTGGGGGAAACACATCGTAAACTGGAATGTATTTTCGGGCCGGACGAAAGGGGGGGATTGGGAAAGGGGGGGTTACGAGATTTGATGCATGTAGCTGGCCTCAGCCCCACCGAGGGGCCCATTCCTCGATACATGGCCGCCTCCGGCGCCTTTCGCCCGACCCGAATTACAAGTGGCGGGCTGTTTTTCAATCCCAGGATTTCTTGAGGGTCGGGGACGACGCTGGGGTGGTGTGGTGTATACTTTTTTCCCCGACGTCCCGGGGAAGCGAGGAAGAAAGTATACGCCAGGATCCCGCATACACCAGGATCCGCGTTCCTGTGCGAATTTCGGCGCAGGGTCGGGAAACGCGTCGGTGTATAGAGTTCGGTATATCAGCATCCTACGAGGATTATGGACAGGGAAGTTTCAAGAAGGTTTTCGAACATTTCCGATGTCTGGGCTGGTTTCCGTCAGCTGAGCCTCGTCGAGGGTGTTGCGGAGGTGCCGTAATCTTCCCGAACGACCGCCAGGGAGCCGAGTTATGACACGCAAACCAATTTGCAACGACAGGGTCGTGGCCATGGGCCGCGACACCATGGATGCGGTGCGCCCTTTTGCGGATGCCCCGCGAATCCATGCGACCGCGCATCCGCATCCACGGGATCTTGTCTGGGAGTCCATAACGCGAGAGGGTGTGGGGGGGGGGGTGAAGGGAAAACACTGCGCTATTCGAGAGCTCTCTCCCTCGCTTTCTTTCGCTTTTACACGCATGCCTCCTATCATCTGCTTCACTCCATTCGGAACCTGATTGAAACCCAGCTGGGAGTCGGGGGCCAGCGGTGACGATAGGACTGAGGGGGGGGGACCTTCGGCAGTCGGAGCGCGCAGACGGGCTGCTGCGAGTGGGCGGCGTTTCTCTCCCAGGAGACTCGAGGAGCTGCAGGCGCGGTTTTGCTCCAGGTTTTGCTGGTCGTGGGAAGACAGAGATTTAACGTTTTGCGTGTGTTTTCCGAATGTATGTCGATACTCACTTGAGCCCGAAGCTATCGCATCAGAGGTCGCATGGAGCAAGTTACATCACTCAGGTTTCTCGAGGAAGTAGATGCGAATGCCCAGCGGCGCAGGTTGTACGATAACAACAATACTAATCGGATTGGCAGTAATAATGCGGATTACCAACATAGAACTAATACGAGTACCACTACTGATACTTATCATAAGAATCTGCATCATTTCATGCCACATACAATTGTGCTAGTGATTCGGAGATTTGGCATGGTAGTGAGAAGACGGGCGATACTACGATCAATGGTATCATCGCAATAATACTAGGAGTTTTCGTCAGGATAAGATGACGACCAATTACAACAGGAGTTGTCATGATAAGAAGGGGGGGCACGACGATACCGACGTTTCGGAGGCTCTCGGTGTTCTTTTGCAGCCTCTCGTCGTGAGGACTGGATGCAGCTCGAAAGACTGGGCCAGATAGACCCCGAGAGGGGTCTGGGGGCTGTCCGTGAGCGGGCTTTCACCGCCCACCAAACCACCCCAACCCAACCCGAAGGCCCCGATTTGCCCTCCATTTCCAGTTAGGGGGGGTCGGGGAACATTGAGAAAACTCATATGACGCCCGCACCCCACCCAACCCGAAATTCGGGTCTTCGGGTTGGGTTGGGGTGGTTTGGTAGGTAGTCAGGCTTTGCAGGAGAATTATTTAGATTTCCGGGCTCCATGTTTGGACCCCTGACGCCTCCAGAAGCTCCCGGGCCCTTCTGGAGGCTCCCGAGGCCTTCGTAGACGCCCCCCCTCGACTCTGCTCGTCGTCGGCGCCTTCTGGGTGGCGGAGAAGTTAGCAACGATTTTGAATGCTTGAGCCCCTTCTGGAGCCCCTGGAGGCTTTTTGGTGGGCCTTTTGGGGACCTCGGGAGGCGTCTCGGGACC